TATTTTCATTTGTTTTATTTTTGGTAAAGTTGTTTTTCCCCCCTAAAATATTTGGAAAAAAGTAATAAAACAATAGCTCTGAGAAATCTGGAGCTTTATTATTAAAGGAGATTTATTTGATGTGGGGGGTTAAAAAAAATGAGTTCTTACAACTTCCCTAGGCAAGAAACCCTACTTTTGTAGTTAGAAATGTTTTCCTGTTTAGTCAGAAACCTCCTTTCATCTACAACACTGCTTCTTGTTCTGTTCTCATTCACCAATTGTTTCCTTTTTTTTTTCAACAGTCAACACATTTTTTCATTTAATCTTTCACAAAAGTCTCAATGTTTCCCCACATTATTATTTTCTGAACTCTTTTTAGTCAGAAACCTCCTTTCATCTACAACACTGCTTCTTGTTCTGTTCTCATTCACCAATTGTTTCCTTTTTTTTTTCAACAGTCAACACATTTTTTCATTTAATCTTTCACAAAAGTCTCAATGTTTCCCCACATTATTATTTTCTGAACTCTTCATTATCTTCATAGCTTTTCTCTGAACGCTTTCCAACTTAACTTCCTTGTTGAAGTGGGCTGTTTAAAACACAATACTCCAATAAGATCTCATTACTGTACTGTAAAATGTAGACTGCATTGTATCTCCTTTCCATTTCCTAGAAATAATGTTCTCCTTGAATCAAAAGCAAATAAAGCCCTAAAGAGATTTGTTCAGTAATAAAAAAAAAAAAGTTGGATGCATATTGATATATCTACACAATGGTATTTTGAGTGTTCAACTATGTTTACAAACCAATGCCTTTGTTAAATATGAATTTTGATTCTTTAGCAGCTAACCTCAATGACAGAACTCAAGATTGCTGTACACCAGTGTCAGTACAGTACACCAATAACCCTCAAGGCTAATTAGTTCCCAACACTGTGTGAAATGCAACATTCTTTGGACCACAATCTTAAGGCTATAGTGATGGTAGAAACCAGGGAGAAGAAACTTTTAAAAAACCAAGGATTATGGACTTTTGACTATGAAAAAAATCAAACGATATTTTAAGTACTCATTGTATGTACTTGCTAGGATGATAGGTTTTAAACTATATTAGAAATGTGATCATTAATTAAAATTATTTTAATGATTGGAAAGTACTAGTTTTTACCATCCCTTGAAGTTGACATTTTGAGTTGGGAAACAGATGAAAGCTGCAATAAAAACACTTAGATAAGTATAGGGAAAAGCAACAAAAACCCTACAAACTTCACAATTTGCCCTCATATGAGATGTGATCCCATTCACTTTGCAGCTCTCAGACTCCCAAAAGCCTTCTTCATCCCGGTATTCTTTGGATGCGTTAGCGTCCAGCTCCAGAATCTGTAGCCAACACTTCCAGATTTTAGAAACCGAACTCCAGTATACCTGCCTATGCTATATAGTGATAACGGCAATGGGAAACTAAATGTAATTCACTATGGCTCATAGTACCATTATGCAAAAAAAATAAAAATAAAAAGTTTTGTTTTCACATTTATACCACTAAGACATTTTGAATGTTATGCTTTTCATATTGAAGGACTCAGGGTGAAATAGTTAGAATTAAAAATATGCAGACATGCAGCACCATCTACTGGAATAGTAGCATCTTATATAAGTGAACATTAGCATTTCAGGAATATTAGTTCTTCACATATCAAGGTGGAAGGTATGGCCAACTATCTCAACCTACATCTTCCATACTGGCTACCCACACTGGTATGCAACCTACATTCCTTGACCACCCATTCATTCTTGACATATCTCTTCTTGTTTTACCATTCATGCTTCTTAAATACCCCATTTCCATTGCATTCCGCTTATTTTTACGCTTCTCCTGACATATCAGCTCTCCTTTCCACGTTACCCGGTGAGCAGAAGCACACTCTTATTGTAGTGCCATTTTCACTTCTTTCACCCAACATCCATTCCCTGCAACAGGCCACAGATTACTGACTACTTTTCAACCAGCATTTGTTTTCAAATAACTTCACACAAAGCCATGTATTTTTCTTCCTTTCCTTTCATTAGTTAATTTCTGCTCTTTACCATTTACTTCGCATTTTCCATGTGCCAGGGTTGTCACCCCACCAACCAGTAAACAAGCAGGAGGGTTTCCTTTTGTGTCCTGAACGTCTGCATGTCATGCAGCTGCTGAAAGTTTAAGAGCTCAACCTGGAAAAAAAGTAAAATCTGACGGTAGAAACATATCTGTTAGAAGATACATGAAGTATCAAAGACATGGTATCCACCCAGTTGGTACAATCTGACAGAGTGGGTACACTCCACATCCTCTCAATTAGCAGTGTCATTCATCTTGTGGAACCCATGAAGTGTGCCTTGGCTGTAGTGGTGCCTGCCCTCTGGAATGAGGTCCCCTCTGAGATCCAGATGGCTTCCAACCTGATGGCATTCCAGAAGGCCCTGAAAACCTGGATATTGGGCGGCATTAAAAATTAAAATAAGGAGAAGGAGAAGGAGAAGGAGAAGGAGAAGGAGAAGGAGGAGGAGGAGGAGGAGGAGAAGGAGAAGGAGAAGGAGAAGGAGAAGGAGGTATATAGAAACAATATTTGAGGAAAAATTCTCCTGTCATAATTATGTATCTTGATTTTCATAATATAGTTACTACAGCTTTTCAATGAAGAAGTTAAGCTTAATTAAGTGAACTTAATTAAATTAAGAATTAAGTACTTAACAAGCTTGAAATTATAGGGGCATTGTGTTCACTTTATGCACATGTGCACAGGTTACTGGGGAAAAGGATTGTGGCTCTCACTTTGCCAATCCAGTACCCTCCAGATATATTGGACTACAGTTCCCACCATCTCAGCCAGCATAGCTTTTAATACCTGAGTTTCCTTTTTTCTCCCCTTTTGTTTGTTGTTGTTGTTGTTGTTGTCGCATGTAAGCCATTCTGGGAGCTTTTTCATCTCAGTTGAAATACTCTGCAACTACTATTTATTGATTGATTATGACTGCATTTGTGGATATTTTCTGACCAGCATTCAATAAATAAATACTAACAATTTATACACACCAAAAATTGTATATGCATAAAAGAATAAAATCACACCACCACATTTGCCCAGCTTCATCTGGAACATGACACATTAGCAATGGTAACTCATGCTTTGATGACCAACTGGTTGGATTACTGTAATATACACTATGTGGGGCAGCCTTTGTAATCTAATAACATTAGGTACCATCTTGCCAGAACTGATTCTGCCCATCCTTCTCAAAAACATCTTGAGAAGGCCTCCTAAGAGTCTCCCCACATGAGAGGTTAGGAGGACTTGGACAGACAGCAGCTCTTCTCTGTTGTGGTCTCCTTTCTTTGGAATTTTCTGGCCCTTCCTCCTGACATTTCGTGAAGCAGTCCAAATGAAGTTTTAACCCTAGTTGACCGCTAAACATACCCATTTTGGGGAAGAAAATCATAAGGAGTCTGGTGACACCTTTTCCGACTAAGAGATTTTATTAAAAGACATAAGCTTTTGTGAGCATCAGCTCACTTCATCAGACGCTGCAGCTCCCAAAAGCTTATGACTGTTAATAAAATTTGTTAGTTGGAAAGGGTGCTATCACAGTCATGGTTTTTTGCCACCACAGACTAACATGGCTCTTCTTCTACAACATTTTGAGGAAGGTGTTTCAAGTTTGTATACTGTTTTGTACTGTTATATTTTTACTGAGTTGTAATCCTGCCCAGTCTTATTTTAAAAAACAGAGGAAAAGAAAACCTTGTTAAAAATATAGATTTAAAAAATAATGGATCAGGCTGCATGATTTACTTAAAATGTCTTTTCACAAATACATTAACTGATAAATCTCTTTGGAACAGTTGCATAATCTGGATGTCACTTCATGCCATAGGAACATTGAGTGACTGGCTTGTGAAGATCTAAGATTCAGAGGTTGCCTTCAGCAGTCTTTCCAAAATCTAGTGCCAAGCTGTCCAGATATTAAAAACCACAATATTCTTTCCAAACTATTTTTGAAGCCCCACAGTTTCCTCAATAAAAATATGGAACTGGTTTATCATTTTCTTCTGGGTTTGTTTGTTTTTATACTTCCTGGCATTTCCTGGTAGTCTCCCATCTGAATTCAAAGTGTGTCCATCCTTGCATATGTTTTGGGGATCAGGTGAAGCGGTTTATTTATGTATTCATTCATTCATTCATTCATTCATTCATTCATTCATTCATTCATTCATTCATTCATTCATTTATATATCACATTATATAGCTGCCCATCTCACACAAAGCAACTCTGGGCAGTTGCTCTTTCTGGTCTCCAGGCAGTGAGGACTTTGGGGTAAAGTTTAGGAAAATCCTTCCAGGATATATTGCACATCCATTCCCCCCATTACACCCAAAAGGAGAGGAGAAAAGAGGGAAATGCTGGATTTATTCTTGGGTAAGTATGAATAGGATCACACTGTAGTCTTCCCTAAGCAGATGCCCTTCGGGTGCAAAGTTAACTCTTAGTGCTCCGATGCTCCCATTTTCATGTAGGTTTTTCGTTTGTTTGTTTTGGCATCAAGAAGGTACTTTGCCATTGCCTTTTTCAGAGATGATGCCCCTTCCTTCCTCCCTTCTTCCCTCCCTCCCTCCCTTCCTTCGCTATCCCATCTAATCTACAGCCCTGTCATCCACTGGTGGCCTCCCATCCAAGAATAACCTAGTGCAGCCATGCTTCGTTTCCAAGTTCAGACAAGATCGACCAGCTGTCGCCACCTGTTCAGCCCAAGCACTACAATTCCCATCAACCACCGCAACCCCAGCTATGAGTGACAGCGGCTGCAACCAGTAGTCGGCTGGGAAGGGTGGAGGTAGACGCCCGAGCGAGCCAGGTGGACCGGAACTCGAGGATCTGCGCATCGGTTGTCAAGGCAGCGCATCGGTTGTCAAGGCAGCGCTAAGGCAACAACCAACGGCGGCCCGGCAGCCGCGGAGGCCGAACTGAGGCAGGGGCGCCATGAGTGAAGAAGGCCGCAGAGGCAGAGGCGGCAGCGACAGTAGCATCGATTCCGCCGCTTCGGTGTTGGCCGAGCTCGACTGGGACGATGGGTTCGCCATCCCCGTTGCTAACGAGGAAAACAAGGCGCTGGAGGAAGAGGCAAGGGCCGGGGGCGGGGAGGGGGGGGGAGTTGCTCAAGGCCCGCTTTGTTTGGACGCAACGTCCAGCAATGGAGGCGGTGGACCAGGAAAACAAAAAACCTGGTTCCTGATACCTCTCAAGATGAGTGAGGCGACGAGGCAGTCTTCGCCTCTTTCATCTGTATTTATATTTCTGCCTGAGAATGAGGGCATTATTTATCTATGGATGGATGGATCTCCAGGAAGGTGAGATGGGAGAATGGGTGGCTTAGTTGGCCCCTCTCTGCAGCAGAATTTCTTCCCTATAGTTCAGGAGATCCACTGAGATAAGGAAAGCCTCTTTTGTTTTTGCTCCCTCTTCTTGTTATCTCCTCTGGTGTGCTCTCCTTCCAACCAGCTCCCAATGTTACCTGGAATAATAATAATTATTATTATGGGGCAGAATCGTAATAATAATAATGATAATTTATTAAACTTATGTGCCACCCAACTCCAATTCTGCCCCATCTTGACTTAGTAAATGATACACTTGGAAGGCTCTGTCACTTTCCAGTTACACTAATCCAGGTTCAAGTTGCAAAGCAGCACTGACCCTACTTATCCCTGGTTTGACCTCAAACAACTGGGACTCAGTGTAATGATCCAGAACATGGCCCATTTGGTCTATCTGTATGCGTCTCTGTCTGTGTATATCCCCATGTTGTACGTGTGTGTATATGTATGGATGTATGTCTTATAGGTTGTATATAGCCCAATAAAATGGGATGATGAATGACATGGGGAGTATGTCTGAATAAATATGACTGCTTATGGTACAGATTTAGATTACCTAGGAGTAAGCGTTTTCAGTTGTAGCCCTCTGACTTAGGAACACAATTCTGAGATACACCTGATGCTGTTTTTATTGTCTTTTCTGTCCCAGATAAAGGCACTTTATTTTCCCCAGACATTTTACTTATCTCTTAATTCCGCTGTGATATTTTTAAATTTTTACTATTGTTTTTACTCTTTGTTGTTTTTACTGTATACAGTATTTTATCATTTTATCTTACATATTTTATACAATGTAGGAATATATGTTTTTATTAACTCTGTTAACCTCCCATTTGAATTGTTTGAATTAGGTTGTGAATAATTTGGTTTTTTTAAAAGAACGATGTGGGGGGAAAAGTATTATTTTTCCTCCAAATAATCCCTGAAGAGGTTTATGTTTGCAAAACAACAATATTTCTTCTCTAGCGTAGTCCAGTTATTTGTGTGCTTCCAGTTTCTGGTATTTTGTAACATTAAATATATTGATCTTTGCTTCACAGCTGCAAAAATTGCAAAAAGAAAAGGCAAATTTGCAAAGTCAGTTGACCGACTATGAAGACCGAATTACAGCAATGACATTACATTTGAAAAATGTCAAACAGGAGTTTGATTTAACACAAGTAAGTGGTCACAGACTTTGATAATCTGTAAAGCACAATTTTATATGCATTTATTCTGATGTATGCCTAACATTTTTGCCATAAGTATTATTCATAGATCCAACTTTTCTCTGTCGTGGAATTTGGCAATATACATAAAAGTCTGAAGCAATTTCTCACCCAAGTAATGACTAGACATAGATCTGTTTAATTTCAGTTAGCAGTTCTAAGCAGACTTACTATACAATAATTTTAGTAAATGCAATATGATTGTAAACAAATATTCTAAGATTATGCATGAAGTTGTAATCCTATGCATAATTATTTGGAATTAGTCACATAGTGATAAGGACTTAACCCGTCCAAAACAAAACTGAGTGTGGAATTTCACTACCCGAAATCAGTAGGAGTGATACTTTTTCTCATTTATACGAGGCACTTGTTATTTCTTTATGTTGCATTTATATCTAAATACTGGAAATATATTCCTTTAGTTTTTATTTATAAAATCTGCAGATTCATTTCTACTTCATATTATTTACTAATAAAGTTTATGAACAATTTTATATAATCAGAGCCAAAATAATATATATTTATGTGTGTGTGTGGGGGGGTATATGTATGTATGTATATATTTTAAATAGATTTTTATAAGATGATACCCCATAAAACAAAAAAGGGAGCTTAATTACATATTTTATGTATTATGTTAGTTCTAGGTAGATAACACCTTGATGAATTAATATCTTGTATAAGAAGATACAAAGGAATATTGTTATATGATATGTATACCCAGATGGAAAGATTACATAAATATCTGCTGATTTATCAAGTCATTAAGATGTTCACTTGAGTCATGCTTCTTGGATGTAAACTTATATGAATATAATTAATTCTACTTTTTTTCTGTTCTGGGCTACAGAAAACTACAGCAATGGATTCAAAACCTCATCTCAGTTTTTTGTCTTCTAAGGATAAAAAACTGACCTGAGAGAATGAATGTTGATCTCTTCTTATGTTTATATAAATATGAATTAATGGGTTATATTATAATTATACAACATTCCTTGGGTATATGTTTTAAATTTTACATCCATTTTTATTTTTAATACCTAAAAAAGAGAATGAAACATTAAAAGGATTCTGTAGATTATAAGTGCTCATTAAACTGGCAAAGTAATGAATTACCTGCTTTTTTTAAGTCTCTTTTCAGAGCCAGGCAGAATGAAATTGAAACTGAGCAGCATTTTAAAGCTATTGCAGAGAGAGAAGTGGGCCGCTTGAAGACTGAGATTCAAAAGCTAGAAAATGATTTGGTTTCAATAAGAGAGAAGAAAAATTGTCAGGAAGTATGTTTCAGATATTTCAATATGCATCTGAAAAATACCTTGTCAAAGACTAGTTTTTCCTACTTTTATTCTTCACCTGTGTTGTTGCCTTAAAGAAAACAATGCAACAATGCATTTGAAATTTTTGTGGTTTTTGGAGCAGTCATTTCAGTGATGCAAATGTTTTAATAGTGTGCACCTCTTTCAATAGAAGATGGAAAAACTATTCAGAATTTTCTCTTGGTCTAGCAATTGATTGGTCTTATTTTAATTGTCTATATGTTATCTATTCCTTTTAATGCCAGGAATTGAACCTGGAAGCTTGTGCAAACTATATTTTATACTATGAAGCTGTAGACAATGCATACAGTATATACATTTGTAGCTTATAGGAAGGAAAAATAATTGGATCAGAGAATCTTCAGGCAAAGACAGAATTCAGATTCTTACCCAACCTGATGCTTCTAGATTGGACTACATATCCCCACCCAGTGTGGAGAATCATGGGATTTGTAGTCTTGGATGTTCCAGTTTGGGAAAGTTGGACTTAAATATTTTTTCTTATTGGGAAATAAGAAAGGAAGAAGGCTTCAATTATATCTGGTTGCATTAATCTATAGAAATCCTTCATTGCACTCATGTTTAATCCTTCATTTTAGAAGAATGAGGTAAGGATAGGAGCTAGAAATACTAGAAAACTTTGGGACATTCCAGATCATACCAATCCTAGTATGTGCTTCTGGAATAGTTCTGGATCACCACTGGAATGGCAAGTTCCGGGTACCCAGAGGAAGAACAAAACATTCTGGAGTTCCGCAATGTCTCTGGGACAGAACGTTTTGCATATTCTTAGAATTTTAAGTAGATAAATTGTTATGTATACCTTTCATTTTGTTTAAGATCAAAATCAAATACTGAAAAATAAATTACTAACATGCTACACATTCATATTTAATAAACCAAAATTAATTATTTACATGACATGTGAATGTGGCCTACATTCAGACTAGGTTAACTGAGCTTTTGAATTACTGGGTAACAAATGGAGGACTGCAAGATACACAATTAATTCTGCCATTGTTTAAGCTGAAGGTTGTTTTTTTTTTTACCAGATAATAGCCTTGAATTTATAACAGTGTAATAATAAGAGGCTTATTGATTTCATAATAATATGAATACTAATTTTGTCTTATGTATTTATTTCTTTTCACCATCAATATTAGAATAATGTTTTCAAGCTGACTCAGAAACTGGAAGCCTTAAGGTGCCAAATGAACTGGGACCAACAAGCTTTAGAAGCTTGGCTAGAAGAGTCTGCTCGTAAAGACAATGATGCACTTACAATCCAGAAATATGCACAGCAAGATGATGGAAAATTACGAGTATGTATATTATATTTCCCATAAAGTTATAAAATATACCTTTCTAGTTTTATTTTGATGGAAAATCCCTGTTACTTGTAGAATCAAGTTGGATAGGAAAGAGATGTAATATCAAATTAGCCATGACATGGGAGATGTGTGGATGTCTAGAAACATGTTTCCTATTATTTTAATGATATCATGGAGATCCTGAATTTGGATAGAACATCTGAAGGTTAGATTATTAAAGCTTTTACCATTGGACCATTTTCAAAACCTGATTTTTCCAGTTGAGAAGAAAATAGCAGATTCATATATCTTTTGCCTTTCAGTGAGAAAGTTATTTGGAAGGATAGCTGGGATAGCCAGTGTGATCTATTGGTTAAGATGTTGGTCTAAGAATGGGTAAACTCAGAACCTAATCTACCCTCAGGCTTGGATGCTCAATGGTTGACTTTGGTCTCAACCTAGGTTACAGGGCTTTTGTTATGGGGAAAAATTGGAGTAAGTAAGTTTGCCTAGGAATATAGTTTGTGCATCTTTTCTCCTATGATGTTGTTTTGATCAAATTAAGACCTCCCATCACTACTTCATTAAAGTAAAACCAAAATATATAATTGCCTACCTTGGCCTATAATATCCATCCTGAAGTTCCTTTCTTTCAGTGAGCCAGCATGGAACAATTCATTTAAAAGGACTTTCTTTGTGAGTTAATAGAAGTCTGTCTTACATCATACCTGCAAACATATATAGACACAGATACATCATTATCCTGTCATACCCATCTTCTTGCATTCTCCCCATTCCCAATGAATGTTAAATGAACTGGGAGAAAAAGGAAAAAGCTATAAGGGTTCCCCTGGGGTTGCAGATTATTCCTGTTGTGGGAATCAAGGATGTTAAGCAGAATTCCCCTCTCAGTAATAAGGTGGGAAGGCTAGTGATTCAGCTCAGGATCACTATTTTCAGTAGGAAAGAATATCAAAGTAACAGTGCTCCCTCCCAACAACCTATCTACAGATCTGTGGTTTCCTATTGCAATTATCAGAAACAAGCAACAATTTAGGTCTTCCAACTCTTCAGCTGGCTGTATGGGACTAGATCACTGGTTTCCTACTGCTATATCAGCAGGAAACCTGCAGTTAGTTTCTTAATTGTCAGATACTTATGTTAATCTGCAGATTGGTGGGAAATATAGGCTAAGCTCCCCATGGCTTCAAAAGTTGCACTTTTTGCAAATGAGAAACATGTATAGACTATAAATTGCCTACACTTGCAGAAGATATTCCAGACAATATGAAATGAAACACAGTAACTGTTGGAAGTATTTTTTACTATATATAAAATAAAATGCTGTTATTAAGTACTGAGTAAATTGATTGGAATAGTTCACCTCCCTGATAGTTCTCCATTTCAAACAATATATAATAAGGTTCAAGCAAGGGACTAAATAATCACTATGGCATAGGGCTTGGTTACTTGAGGAACCGCCTGTCTCCCATAGTATCTGCCTGGCTGATCCAATCTGGCAGGGTTGGCATGCTCCAGGTTCTTCGATTAAACAGTGCCATCTATCTGGACTGGAATGAGATTCCCCCTGAGATTTGAACAGCCCCCACTCTACTGGTGTTTCGAAGGGCCCTGAAGTCCTGGCCCTTCGGCCAGGCCTTTGGCAAGCATGATTGAAGCTCCCTTTCCTTCTTTTTCTTTGTTCCCATTGTGATTTGTTATCTCTGCTATCTTTGCTCTTTTTTGTTGCGTGTTGTTTTCTTGTTTTAAATGTTTTATTTTAACACTTTGTAAACAGCCCAGTTTCTTTGAGCTTTCTTAAACCCAGAGGATTCTATAATGGGCTTCTTTTGAACAATATAACAATGGTAATGCTTAGTAGTTCCTAGCTATATTTTACTTTTGGAGTTACTGTTTAAAAGAATAAGCTTGATCATTCTTTATTTTCAGAAATTGACTCTACAGATCGAGATGCTGACAGCTCAGTGTAATAATAGACACAAAATTCTTGACAATGAACTTACAGAAACCTTAGCTGCTCAGGTTTGTTCACAAGGCTAAAGAATTAATTTTATAGTAAAATTTTAAGTGTTCCTTATGAATATCTTACTAACTAGTATCATTCTCTTTACAGATCGAATTGGACAAAACATCCGAAGACTTCCGCAGGGTTCATCATGAAAGACAAGACCTTATTGGACAGTGGGAAAACACTATAGAACAAATGCAGAAAAGGGACCAAGAAATAGACAACTGTGCCTTGGTAATTTTTTCTTGGATTTTATTTCTAAATTATGGAATGTCTTCTGAACTAACGAGCCTTCCTTTTTTATATATATGTTATTTTTTAATAATTCTGCTATGTTTTATGATGCATCTTACTCTATAATGCACATTTTGTGAGATCCCCACAAAAAAGACAATACTGCTTTCCTAATTTTAGTTAGAATGTTTGTGGTATCTGGTTTACTGCATATTCATTCATTCATGTTCTATTGATAGCTTCTAGCACAAGCAAGAAGAACAATCCGTGCAAAGGAAAGTGTGCTTAAAGACAAAGTCCAGTTTTTGGCAAACGAGAGTGGGAACAACATGGAGTATGAGAAGAGAATTTCCATAGCTGATCGACAAGCTGCCAAACTGAGACTAGAATACCAGACAGAGGAGAATAATAGGAATGTACTCCAAAATGAGGTAATTTATGCATAAACTGGTATATGAATTATGTTCTTCATTATCTTTCAGGTTAGAATTTATGTGTAAACATGTCATTGGAACTTAACAGCACAGGCAGTGATTCTGACTACAGAGTGAGAAAGGGAATCTCTTAGAATAGGAACAGGAATATAATTTGAACACTGTGGTTCAAATGTTTTGGACTGCACATCCTGCAGAGAACAGTATCATTGATATAAGGATTATTTGCTTATTTCCCATTCACACAAAAGCTTTGGATGACAATGCTGTTGAAATGATATATGCATGGTAAATTAAAGGTTATGAAAATGCTTGTGTTCCCAAAATAGATTTTTTTCCAGCATCAAATTATTAAATTGTAAAATTGTTTTAAAAAATGTAAAGATAAAATCTCTGCATTTCCCAAAAGGGCAAGCAACATTGTTCTTTAAGAACCACTCGGATGTTCCTTATAATTTCACATGTCTTCTTTAGCTGGATACACTAAAAGCTACTGTGGATGGAACAGCTTCTGAACTAGAATCAGTGAGAACCACTGTAGCCAACCTTAAGAAAGAAATCCAGGAAAAAACTCTAAGGTATGCATTAATTAATTGCTTTAAAAAATCCTGAAATAAATGTACAAAGAACTTGAACAGCGCTGCACCATAATGTCACAAGGAAGGCTGGTTGCTATCTATTAAATGACTTAGTTAAATGTATTATATAAACCTAAGCTATATTTGAACTAAATAGAAATATAAGAGATGGGTACATACTGTAGTTGGGATAGCTTCAGATGAATTTTCATTGAGTGTTTACCCTACCTCATTCACAGAATTTTACTGGCATTAGACAACATCTTCTGACATAAACCTCCATGTTTTCCTTCCACCTTCTATCTCTTCTTTTTTCTATTAATGAAGGAAAGGCAGATTTATTACATTTTAAAATAAAAAACCTATAATGTTAGTAACCCTGTGTGCAGGGGTAAAATGTCTAATGCAAGATTCAGTATAGTCTGGATCAACCCCACAACACGATAAAATCTCTATCTCTCTGAGCAGAGAGGCTTTTGAGTTGGATTGATGTAACTTTGACTGCTGATTTTAACTAGATGTTAACTCTTTTCAGATTACCGTTTTGTTTATTAGTTACGTTGAGTATCCTGGGGATGGAAAGGTGGTAATAAATGGAAATTAATTAATAATATTGTCTAATTCCCCCTTCCCAAAGTTTATATTTGAGTCAATATTAATATGGCAGTACTCCACTTATCTTCTGCATCCTGGAAAACAAACAGATTCCCATCAGATTTCTTTTAACAAAAGCTTACTTATATGTTTTTCTTTCTTTCTTAATGCATAATAAAATGGAATGGTATGTTTTAATGTGGTTTTGTCATTAAAATTATTTTTAAAATGCCTAATATTTGGCTTGCATCTAATAAGCAAGATTTCGTACGTGATTTTTTTAACAATCGTATGAATAATTTTAACCTCTCTACAGTACTCAGATATTTATATGTAACATAATTTTTCATATTATAAACTCTGCTTTAGGCTAAACTTGATTCAGGACCAGAATGATAGTCTTACAAATAAATTGAAATTTGTGACACACCAAGCATTAAGTGAAGAAGAAAAAGCATGCAAAATGGAGGAACTTCTAAAAGAGAAAGAAAGAAATGTAAAGGTAAAAGCACTTATTATTTCAAAATTTCCTGCAATGTTTTGTTATTTGAATAAAGCCTGTATAATATTATTTAAATAATTGTTTTCAGTTGTGGTTGGGATGGGGATTGAAGCTCCAGAAATTGCAGGCTACCTAAACAGATGAAGCAAATAGGTTTTGCTATCTGCTATAACTATCACATAACATGAAGGAAGCTCTAACAAAATATTTTATGGGAATTACTCTAAGGGGTTGTACAACAAAATTCTCTCTAAACCTTAAGCTTTGCTACCAGTCTCCCAATGATACTCTTGAAGTGACTTTCTCAGATGTGCCAGATCATAATTTTGTAATGACATAGCAAGACCTGTGCTGTACTCTAATTATTCTTTTTCATATAAGAATTATGCACTTGGTTCACATTTTATGTTACATCATAATTTGTTTTAATTATGGTATGTTGAAAAGAAATCATAATGCCCTGATTAACAAAATACAGTATACCAAGACAAAATGCTTGGTCTATAAACCATAGTGCCTGGATTCACACATTACCCCAAAGTGAAACAAATAAACTGTATTGTGGATTAGCAAGATGTTCAAAAGTATTATATTATTAATTCTTAAGTGTCATTGTAATAGAATGCACTTTAAGCCCTGGTTTGTATAAGTATAATTTTTTTTTAATGTGCATTAGCATTTATAGATCTTTAACTTTTTAAAATGAAAATCGTAAAATCATTTATATGATGTAAGATGATTCAGTAGATGATATATATAATTCCAAATAGTGTAGTTAAACTTCTTTGTATGGGTGACTGATAACCCAAGATAATGCAAGCATAGTAATTCCAGTTTAACAAAGATGGAGTGTTCTAGAATAGTGTCTGCAAAGTGTTAGCTGAAACGTAGCTTTCCATCAGAATTAGCCACGCATGTTTATTTGCCATATCTTTTAATTCAGTATGAAAAGATGCAGTGTGAAGTTTATAAAGGTATGGATGCATTTGTTTCTTTTCTTAAGATATATGTGGTCTGCAAATTAGATAGATTTTATATTTGTCCTGCATTGTTGACCTTCAAGAAAATGAAGCAGCAAGCAAGTAGGAAGAGTTAGGCTAAATGGATATGGCTCATCTGAAATAAAAGGGAAATGGAAGTATCAATGAAAGAGTATCAAAAGTAATAGAGCAGAATAGCTTCATATTCAAAAGAAGCACAGAACCTGTCCAAGATATTGAAATAGCTAATCAAAATTTTGTTAGATTCACATCCTATTTAATCATTACAATCTCAAATTTAGAAAAAAATGTATAAAATGTTTATAAGCATTCACATATTGTCATTTTAATACCATCAGGAAAAAGAGGCACAGGCATTGCAATTGAGAGATGCACATTTCAAGAAAACAAAGGAGTTGAAAACCCTTAAGGAAAATGAAAAGAGTATTGCATCTTTAATTGAAGGACATCGCGGACAGAAAAAAAATCTTCAGAACCGATTATGGCGATTGGATTTAGAAGCACTTAACCAGCAAGAACTCATGTATAATCAGGTAAGATTTGTTTGTGTGCATATCTACAGATATATGGATTTGATTTAATCTTATAGTAAGATGGCAGTAAATCACAAAAAATTATGCATAAGTGAAAAAATGACTAACAGAGTTTTAAAATCATTGGGTTAAATTAAGCATTTCAGTTTCTGTTTTCCTCAATAATACAGCTGGTTTCTAACCAAGGTGATAGTGCCAAAAATGTTTCAGGAAAAGGAATGCAAAAAAGGATTCTTTACAAGATTAGGAAGCAAGATAAAATAAGCAAAAAATGAAGATTGGAGAAGGGCATGATAATGACCTTTCATTCTCTAATTCTTAACCTTTTGTCTGTGGCAGATGGCCCCTCCAGGATATTCTGGAGAGGAAATGTTAAGTCTAGCTGTTTAATCAATCCCTTATTTACAATTATCTCCTGTGGAATAAATTGTGTAGCTTACGCATTAACATCTGTAAGTACATCTGTAAGTTAAACCTAGAGGGAGGTTATGTTGAATTGCGAAATAATCGATTTATTATTCTACTCTTTCAGTCATAAATTCTGTTTACCTGAAATAAAGTTTAATTGGTTATCAATGATACCATTTATAACTAGGAAAGAAAACAGTTTGCTTGAAACGGAATTCCATTTAATTCCAAATCAATATGTTTTAAATTGGATGGTACACTTCACAAAACAGCTTTTTGCCCCTCTTGCAGAGAAGTTAGGCATCTAATTTTTTTAACAAATAGTAAGAATTGGGTACATTCATCTCTTCTGTTCTTTCAAAAATTTACTGTCAGGCCCAGCCCAAGAACAACAGTGAAACAGTCCAGTTGAGTAGAGTTCCTTTTTTTGCTTATACCTTATAGACAAAATCTTGCCAGACTAAATCTATACTATTGCAACAATTGGATATACCCTGGGAGATTCTAGGGAGTGGCTATCTTGAACCTCTTTCACTTCGTACTCTCCCCCTGCGGACTGTGTTGTCTTTGGAATGCACCCCTTTCTTCCTGATAGCCTTGATCTCTCACATCACCCTCCTCTTCGTAGGTAATTCCATCACATTTACCTTGGCTGCTTCAAGTTATTTCTGAAGGAATACAAGAGATGAATGTATCCAAATCTTGCTATTATTTTATGTATAAATCCTGTACACCACTTTAAAATCACTGGAAGTGGTAAAATTGCTACAGATGGTCCTTGGGTTAGGACCACTCATTCAGCGACTGTTTAAACTTGGGACTTATGACTGGTCCTTGGAGTTCCAGCTCTTCCAACATCCCCATGGTCACATGATTGCGATCTGGACACTTGACACCTGGCTCGCAATTACGAACGACATTGCAACAAGCCGTGGTCACGTGATGGCGATTTCCGACATTCCCTGCTGGCTTCCCACAAACAAAGTCAATGGGGAAGCCAGTAGGAAGTCAGAAGTTGCAGCCACATGATGTCCTCATTTAATGACCCGTGCAGTCCTCGCTTAATGATGGCAACCGGGACTGCTGGAATTGCCACTCTAAGCAATGTGATCACATGACATCGTGCTTTATGTCCACATCACTTAGTGTTGGCAGTTCCAGTCCCAATTGCCATTGTAACCCAAGGATTACCTGCCCTCAACTAGAAGCCTCCCTATTTAGGGGTGCTTGATTATATTTTAGAAAATTACTCATCAGGGCTTTTTTTTGGCCTTTCTGCTAATTTTATTTCTTGCTTAAAATACTTCAACAGGATTTTTATATACAGCAAGTGGAGAGAAGGCTGTCACGCTTGCAAGGGGAACTTAACACAGATGAAAAGCAAATTTTAGAAGCCAGAGTTGCTGAACTAGTAAAGATGCTGGACGAAAAGAAACTGGAATACAATACTTTACAATCACAGCAGAAGAAACTTCAGGTAATGTGACTTTTTCATGAGAAGATGTTTTGTGGCATTTACAGCAATACCTAAGGAATTGTTCGTCATCTATATAAATCCTGTTTTGCATGAAAATGCTACAAATATATTTCTAATCTATTTGGAATGAAGAACTGGTACCAATGTAACCTAAAACAAAACAAAACAACATTAAGATGAGAGACTGCAAACCATGCCTTCTGACATGGATGACTTTTGTTTAATGTGTTCCTGGCTAAACTGAAAGGACACAATTTTCTATGTCACAATTGTGGGCATTTATAGTATTCAGTGTTTTCAAAACAAAAGTTATATTTTTGTTTGTTTCTTTCCAGAGTGATATCCATTTTATCAATTTGGCCATAAGTAAAACTGGAGAAGAAATGGCTGGCTTGAATACTAGAGTGGATGAGATAAACCTTTTCACAGACAAATCAGAAAAGTTATTAAAAAAAGCCAGAGCCGAAAAGCAGGTGTGATAGTTTTTCAAATGCAAACCATAAATGTTTTTAACAAGTGTTTAACAAATAACAACTTTGCTGCCTGAAATAAGTGTTTTACCTTGTGCTGACAGACTAACCTTGTACACAATTTTCTATGTCACAATTGTGGGCATTTATAGTATTCAGCGTTTTCAAAACAAAAGTTATATTTTTACAAGCATGGGTATCTAAGGGGAGTCAGGCGGGGCAAATGGCAACATGTCATCACACAAATGCTGACTTGCATACTTGCATCAGACCTCACGATGCATATATTCTTTCTGTTCTATCAATGGAAGGATTTGATGATTGAAGACAATCTCTTAAAGCTGGAACTGAAACGTGTAAGAGATATGCTGTACAATAAGGCAGAGAAAGTTCTCTCTCTTGAGAAACGGAAACAGCGGTTAAAAACAGCAATGGAGGAGAGAACTGCTGATATCAAAGTTCATAAAGAAATGATTGAGACTCAGATACGACTCATAGAGCAAGAGCGTCAGACTCTGAGGTAATCACTCCACAAAGCTGAGAGCAGTATCTGCTTTCAAGAGTGTATCTGGTATTCAGGGACTCTGTGACAATTGCACAGGTCACGTTTGCTGCCTTTGAGCAGCTGCTCATAAAAATGTTTCAACAGCCTCTTAAACTGCACGGAAGAACAACTTGTCCATTTCTCAGTGGTTTAGAAGTGCTCAGCCTGTTTTCCTCACCATCAATGGTTTAGTGAACACAAGCATTCATAGCTCAGAACAACCAACAGTACACTTTGTTTTCTTACTGCATTATCCCACCTTTTCCTCCAAGAAGCTCTAAAGCCTCTCATTTAATCTCTCAAGGGTGTCTTAATGAGAGATTGCCTGGGTTCACATATCATCTAAGCCGTAGTTTTTAGCTGTGTGACTTAGTGAGCAAGCCACAGCAGCCTAATAAGCATAGGGGTTGGGTTCATACATAAAGCTAAACAGAACACTTTCTAGCATAGTTTGAAATTTGAACCCAGCTAGTATTTAGCCAAAGTTCTGCCAGTGAACTCATAGTCTGCAACCTTACTTTTCTGAAATTGCATTTGCTTCTCTTTTTATAAAATATATTCTTCTGGTCCTTCAGATTTCCTTTATGTTACATTCTAATACAGAAATATGGCAGAAGCAAAAGCTAACCCTCAAAATTCTCTCATGCATAATTCTCATATCAGGAACTTAAATGTATAACAGAAATGAACCTAAAACACTTGACAGTAAATTACCAGTCACAAGGCAGGAACTAGAAAGTCCTGTTTCCACAACTTTAAGTAACGAGAAACAAGAATCTTTGTACAGCAGGTGGTTAAACCCAACTGGGAAATGAACATTCAGCCAGCTGATCTGGCACTCTTTTCCCCACCCTCCTTTTCCATCCACAACCCACGCAATAGGAAATTAGAGTGATTTAGTATGACTGGAGCTTACTCTTTCGCCAAACAGGCAGACTCTGTGTTTTTCCGTTGATAATTACATTACTAATTGGCACTTGTATATAATTTGATTTGAGGTTGTTTCCTGCTGTTGCTTATTCTCTTCTAGCAGTGGCAATATTAAGATATAATCAGCAGGGGGCAGCTTTTGCAGCTGTAGGACTGAAATGCCAAACCTTTAAATATTTGGGTAAGATTCACTTGATAGTTACTCCCCATGATGCAGGGATTTGCAATGCAATACCATCTTTTTCTTTTTTGAAAAAGTATGGAGAATTTGGAGCCAATTAAGTATTACTACCATTGTCACAAAATGGAGATAATGTATCAGTCACTCTACTTAGGGTTCATCAACTGTCTTATTGGAGGCAAAAACTATCCCCAGGAGTAATCCAGATGAGTTGCTTGTTACAAGATTTGGGACTCAGTTTTGTGAAAAGGCAGGGCACATCGTGCCCTGTCCCCTCAGTGTTATATGTTGTTCCTGTTTGAACCAACAAACGTGTTTTGATGATTTCCTCTAATAACCTTCTTGATTAAGGACTATTCTGTGTCCCCAGTTACTCCTTCTCTAGTTTGTTTGTTCTCAGGATAACTAAGAGCCAAGCATGTTTGCATGTAGTTTGCAGCCTGAGTTTAGGGACACGAGATCAAATAAAAAGTGGGCTCACTACAAAGATTTAATAGATTTGATTGAAAAGAATTTATTTACATGCTTCAGTGCTAACCATATTCTGCCTCTCTCACTCCAAAATAAAAATTAAAAGATCACAGGCCTAGTTTTTTAAAGAAAATAATCTCATGTTTGAGAGCTATGACAACTATGTAGTCTCAGTCAAACCAGTTTGTAAGTTCATAAATAAAAATAACAAATTTTTTTCCTGTCAAACATCTGAGTTGATTTATTTTTCATTTTCTCCTCCAATTAGTTCAGAATTTCACGAGCGACTGAGTAAAATTGAGAAACTGAAAAGTAGATATGAAATTATTACCATTGTCATGATGCCTCCAGAAGGAGAAGAGGAGCAAACTCAGACTTATTATGTTATTAAGGTAAATTTCTTACTTGGATTCAGCCTGATAGTTTGAAAACTCTGTAAAATTAATCCTGTTTTTTTTTAAACCTCTGATTTCTGTTACACCGATATGAAACCTTGCTTTATTGCTAACTATCTTGCTTCTGTCACTGTGGGCTCTCACATGTTAAGAGTAGTTATGAATTATTCAGGGAAAGTGGGATTTGAACTGGTTTTCATAATAAACTTTTTGACCTTGAACTACCATTGTTTTGTGATTATCTCTGAGAATTGCATAGTCATAGGGTTGCATCATCATCTATTTCCTAGAGAGCAGAAATGTATTTTGCAATCGAGTCTGGAGCTTCTACAAGTGGAAAGGAATCTGTTATGACTTCACCCAGCAGGAACAATTTCACATTTTATGGAGCCCACAACTGAGCCTTGTACGAAAAGTAACATTACGCAGATGGGGTCTGAAAACATTTTTAATTCCTTATGCATGAAACCAGAAAATGTTGTAATGATATTGTGTGAGATAAAATCTCTTATTGTGGGCCACAACTGGTTATCCATGATTGATACCTGCAGACTGTAAGGATTTTTTTAATAGTACTCCCAATCATTTGGATGTTCTGATTTGTTCAGATGCTTTGATATGCTTGAAATGGATCTCTCTTATCTCAGTAAAGTCTGCTTTCTCGTGCCCTTTTTTAAAATATGAATGATTAGAAAATATGAGACACTGTTGTAGGAATCTTATTCTAAACAATTTCATCTTTCATTCTGTAGGGTTGTATGAAGAATCAATGGTGCATTTCAGTCCAAAGCTGCTGCTTTTATTTTGCACTGATTTTTAAATTATCATTTATAACATTTATGAGTTGTCCTTTGGTCTCAAAAGAGTCCCATTAGGACATACAAAGTAAAGCATGTTATGTAATATAATAGAAAAATAGTAATAAATTAAAATGGGAGACACTGTTTGAATTCTTTTAATAATTTGAAGCTTAAATATCACAGTTACTGAAGTATAACTTGAATAATTGCAATCTATCCCACCCTATCTCAGAAATCTTTGGAATCTTTTCTTCAAGAATGAGCATGATAAAAGATAAAGAAGGTAAAGATCTTACTGGAGGAAAAAAAAAGATATAACTGGAGCCATACAATCTGGAAAGTGAAGATACATGGGCACTAGAAACAGCAAAGCTTTAAGAGTTGATGAAATACCAGCAGAACTGTTTAACATCATATAAAATGATTCTATATGGGGTGTGTGACCAATTTATATTCCAGTACCAAAAAAAGGGCAGCTCCTAACAAATGCTCAAACTACTGAATAGTTGCACTTATCCCACATACTACTAAGCTAATGCTCAGTATTTTGGAGTCCTCAACAGTACATGGAGGGGAATTGCCAAAAGTACAAGCTGAATTCAGAAAAGGCAGAGGCACTTGAGATCACATTTCTAACATCCAGTGGTTAATGGAAAAGGCAAAATAGTTCCAAAAAGATGCATTTTTTGTTTTATTGATTACACAAAGGCTTTTTACTATGCAGATTACAACAAATTGCTTGTTGTTGTTGTTCAGTCATTAAGTTGTGTCCGACTCTTCGTGACCCCATAAACCATATTGCGCCAGGCCTTCCTGTCCT